CTATCAGTTGCTGTTGATTTGTTCTCTTTTTGAGTGATTGTTTTTTTAAAATTATTGCTTAACGTTAACAGTAAGGGCTAACAGAAAAGCGTCGAAAACACAAAAAAAGCTTAATTGTACGAAAACTAATGCTTAATCTTACGCTCAAACTCCGGACAGTTTCTATGCAACAGTATTCCACAATGTTTCCACCCAATTTTCGACACTTTTCAAGGGGTCCAATAGTACGAGAACAAATTTGTTTATTGTAGTGCTTATGAATCGTTTTCGATGCTTTTCCGGTTCCAAAACTGCTCTTGTGGCTCTATTTAAAGTCGACTTTTTGTGCCCGTTCCATTCCTAGTATCTATGTATGCATGACTGTTACCGATGCACTAACGAATGCTCGTCTTTTCATTTTCTTCAAAGTGAACTTGTGGTACGAAGAAGAAGAAAAAAGAAGAAAAAGAAGTGTGAAAATGGAGAGCTATTCAGCTGACTGACTAAGTTCTTACATATAATATCACCATAGATATATGTAATCATCAACTGTTCGCATTTCCAAGAAGCATTAATATTGATGACTGAGGACGAAAACGACGTCGACGAGGACGATCGACTAGGACGTTCATCGCAGTGATAGTGCTGGTTATGAGATGAAGAAACGAATGATATGAAAGTTTGCTTAAGGTTTGGCTCAGCTCGGCTAAGTGAAGGCTCTTCTTGGCTCCGTGGTTTGTGCTCATTGTGGTTGCTATGCAATGCGCTTAGCACCATCATTCAGTCCATTAACCACTGTGTTGTTTTTGCTGTTAGTTTTGCTTTTAATTTTATCACTCACGAAGTTTGCCTGTTAATCATCATCTGTTACTCTTCTGTCAGATAAGAGCCTAGCATAAAGTTTGTCCATTCAAGCAACAATAACCTTCATTGCATTTACATATCCAACCATGTTCTGCACTTGCTTTCATGCTGAGAACGTGATATCGTCATTTGTTGCTTCTAGTTTCCAGCTCGATTGCAACAGATAATTATGAGTGAGTGAAGGTGAAGTTCTACTGCTCAAGCTCACGTCCATGTTACGTTGTCGTGTTCCGCCAACTTTAAACTGAATGTTGCAAATGCTAAGAAGTGCTAGATTATAGCAGTTAACAATACAAGAGTTACCTTGTGTGTAACGCCAAAGTCGATGCGGAGCCCCCAAACAAATTGTCGAAACTTTGGTGTGCCGAAAATTCACACAGTCAGTGACTGGACATGAATTCAAATGTTTGGGGTGACGCGGATCCTTCAAAAATTTCAATCATCTGCCGAAAAGCATTCGGTTCGCAGTTGGTCAAAAACCTCAGCAGATTGCCGGTTTTTTTTAGCTCTGCGACGGATCGCCCGATATACAGTAAAGACATTCGATACTTGACAATCTGGTGGATCTGTATTTCCACATCCAGCGCGGGGTCTCTCGAATCAAATTTTAAGCACTTGCAAATACTTTTAATATGCGCATGATGTGCACGATAACTTTTGAACAGTGGTCCTTTTCATTCGATGAGTGAGGCATGTATAAAATAAGTGAATTTGCATCACTCTTCATTACAGTGATCATCACTTATGAATTTATTTTCATCAACTTCTTATCTTTCCTCTCTCATTTGCATTGAACACATCGCTCGCTCACTCACTAATTATCGCAAACACAATTTCTGAGTGTTGATTCGAGAATAAACTACTCGCTGTCGTCAGCATGTAATTAATTTTATGCGCTTGATGCAGCAGCAGCATCTTCCAAGTGAACTATTTTATCGAATACGTATATGACCGACACGTACTTCATCTCACTTGTTTTGTCAACAACGATAGATCATATTGAGCTATTCAATAGTTGTAGTGAAGATAGTGAATCACAACAAAACGACCGACAACTACTTCTAGGAAATTAATTTAGCATTGTTGCGCTTCAAGAATTGATGACACTGTCCCACTAGAATGCAAAATAAATTCTTCATGAAAATTAGGTTGCTTTGTTCACTGTTGTTGCTGCTGCTGCTGCTGCTTTTGCGGTTGGTACATTAACTGCGTACTGTAAGTAATGGATGTCTGATAAAATTTAATAATATTGCATCTACATAATGAATACAACATTAACGAACAGTCATTCTCCTTACTCTTTTCTTCCTTGAAGCAATGCTTTCAATTGCTGATTTTTTCTCTATCTCAGGATGAAGTTAATAAGTGCTTGTTATCCGCTGCTATTGGTGAGCGAATACGGTAGCTTCAACCGTTGCTTATTTTCTATTGGTTGTTATCTTGATTATTAGATATTTAAGAGAGAAGTGAACGAGGAAATGAAACATGCTTGTGGCCAATTAACTGATTCTCGGAAGCATCGCGTTCAGCTTTATTATCTATCATCAATCGTCGTTCCCTAGTCACTTCCATTCTTGGAACAATCTCGGTTTTGTCGATCTGCACAACAAACGAGCTGAACGTTTCTTTTCGCTTGCTTCTGATCATTTTTGAAATCCACTTTAAATATGCACTGAACACGAAACATTCACGTGTCTTCTTGTTAATTTCGTGCACCGAAATCCACCAATAACTGATTGTGATTTTCTTCACGGTAGTTATGTATGACATGTGATTCAATGTATCGTCAATAAAAATAAGCGTGAAAAAATATGAATGTTCATTTGAATTTTTGAAATTTCGAATTGACCTCTTCCAATTGGGAATGCCTCAACGATACAGTTGTACGACGATAGCAAATTGCTATCAGTGCGGCTGGTAGGATATTCATTCGTTATGAAATTACGCATCATCATCCATTTATTTCACGAAGAGCATAGCCGACAATCGTTCAGAATTGTTTTTTTAACCAAAAATTTACTGCTCGAGATGAGATTGAAATAGGTACTCATTTCTATATGTTTTGTTTATCTGCAAATATTTCCTACTAGATTTATTTCAATTCTGATGTATTTTGTCTGTCACATGTACCGCTATATACGAACTTTTCATTTCCATCAGATACATAGATACATCTATGAACTGTTAGTAAAAATAACAAAAATTCTTGGTGTATTCATTATTGAAACGACTCAACATTGCCCCATCTAAATTGATACCGACTTATTCTCTGAATAAATGATAAGAAGTTTGTGCGTGAAGTCGCCATATTTCGTTGATTTATTTGCAAAGCTTCAAAGGACACCATAGCATAAATTATACAAATGTTCTCGATTTGAATGCGTTCATTTATGAAATGAAATGAATCCTCATTTTGCGTTCTAGTAGGCCACAAATATGTTTTGGAAACAACTGTATCACGCGAGTGAGTGAGTGTCTCGTGTGAGGTGACATTTCTAGAAGTAGTCGAATAACTATCACCTCATACATACATAGCGAAAGAATAACTTTGCGAAAATTTATTGGTACCATCACATGAGAACACAACAATTAGACAAAATAAATTAATTAAAAAAGGTGATTAGAGAAAGGAATTATTTGATTTTGATCGTTAATTTTTTATTGAAAAAAAACAGTTTACTAATGACAAGTTTTTACGAAATGCGTTTTATTTGACTTTTTATGAACTAACTAAATATGAATACGTTCTTTTTTGGCTAGAAACACTTGTTATTTGCAATCTGAAAGCAGTTGAATGCTTGAATTCGCCATCAAACATAAACGCGATGTGCAATGAAATTTTTATTATTGTTCATGCGCGTGACAAGAATTTTTTTGTATCAAATATTATCAACTGTTCGGTCTTCTTCGATCAAGTTAAGACAGACTCTCTGTTGTCCATGGTTGAATCCAGAAGAACGATCATTCGATATTTGAAAACTTCTGGGTGTATTATGTGAACATACTTATTCAGTTGACGTGCTTGTAAGATTTGCAATTGGGTCTTGAGATTTCTGCCAGAGAATTTCCCTCATATGATTATCGCTTTGATGGCAATTGTTGACTTCAATTAGTTGAAGTCTGTTAGATGAATTTCGGTAGAGAGACTTTTATTTTTAATGTTCCTTTCCATTGATTTCGCTAAGGCGACGAATTTGTGACCGCTTACTGTTGAATGCCACTTGTTTCAGCCAGTAACAAAGTAACGGCCGATTACACCTTCTACCCATTCATTAATCTATCTACCGAATACTCAGAGAAAAGCTTTGCGCTAGGATTAGGCTGTTTCAGTGAACGATGCCTTTGGGAGTTCCTTCGTCTCCTTTTCCTATATTGTCTGACCGTGCTTGCCGTTTGGTACCACGAATATGCTGCAGTGATATGTAAAATGCTAATTATATATATATATATATATATATATATATATATATATATATATATATAT